ATATATATATAYTATATGTATATATATGTRTATGTATATATATGTGTATATATATGTATACACACACACATATACAACATGCCATTCAGCCTTTAAAAATTAAGGAAATTCTGTTATTTGTGGCAACATGATGAACCTTGAGGATATTATGTTAAGTGAAATTAAGCCAGTCGCAGAATGTCATATACTATAAGATCCCACTTACATGAAATGTATGAAATAGTCAAATTCAAAGAATCAAAGAGTGAAATGGTAACTACCAGAGGGTTGGGGGTCACTAATCAACTGCATGAAGTTTCAGGCCAGCAAAATGAATAAGCACTAAAGGTCTGCTCTACAACACTGTATCCAATGATAATGTCCTGTAGACTTCAAAGTTTGTTTAGAGAGTAGATTTCAGGATAATTGTTCTTATCACGAATTATATAAAATAAATTATTATAAAGGAAAACATGATATAAAAGGATATACCCACAAGAAGCCTCCAATTTATTTCAACTCTATGTTCTTTAACTATTGCAACCAATCCTGTATGCATGTGAAAAGTATCTACAATTTCTTGAATGATTTCTTTTGAACCTCTTTAGGGGTACATATATACCTCCAACTGAAAAGGCAATTGATTACTTTGGGCTCAGAATTTTCTCTTTAGAAGGTTAGACATCATCAGGAGTTTGGATGGAAATAGTTTTAAAAACACCCTGTGGTAAGATGCTCAAAGATTTACTCCCACACAGAATGTTTTTGTGGRTGGTTAATTTATCTGAAAAGGCTCCTTACCAATTATTTTTACTCTGGTGACAAGTTCTCCTTTAATAAAAATGTAATGGTAACCATAAAGATGTGGGAATGTCCTTTGTATTATATCAAATTTGACTTTAAAAGATTTAAGTGGGTRTCATGAATTTTAATTCACTTCTCATCTTCAACTGCCAACTATGGGCCCACCAATTATTTAAGTTTAGATATTATCCATCAAATTCTCTCATATGCATTATGTTTTATGTTATGTTATAGTATATAACACAAGACAAGACATAGGTTATATTATATATTCATACACATATAATACATATAGTATTTATGCATAATATGACATCTACTAAACATATAAAGCATGCTAAACATTATATATGATAAAATTATATAAGTATGTAAAAATATAATACATTTAATAAAGATWATAATGAATATCTCATTTTAAGGTGTCTCTTAACTTGAATGTTATTTAAGAAGACCAAAGTTTTGTTGAAAAGACAACAAATCAACTTTGGCTTGTTATTTTCAGCTACTCACTCAAACTCATTAAACCATATTATACTGAAATATGTATTTTGCAAAACTTTAGTATATAACTTAAATTATAACCAGCATATTCTGAGTTATGTTTTTGAAATGGAACTATGGCAGAAAAGCCTTAATTTGCTAACTGTAATGAAAGCCTTTAAAACCACAATGGAGTTAACAGAGAGCTTAAAGGGTGCGTGTAAATCTCTACAAATATTGTAAGAAGTCCACAAATGTATGGCAAAAAATACTAAAATCTATTATCTTTATAGTAATGAGTGCAATGCTAAGTTGGAAATTACTAGAAGACTAGCAAGAAATTATTCACTGTTCCTTTTGTGCTGATAGAATTTATGTTTATAGATTTAACTATTAGGATATATAATTATATATGGAAAATAATCTTAGGGATTTCCACTTCTATGAAAAAGGACATTTTAAATATCTTTAAAGTTTATGTTAGTATATGAAAGCTACTGCTTGAATTCATGGAAGCACAAATTAAAATTTTCAGAAGATACTTACCCTTTTCTGTTCTTTTACATATTCTATCAATTCATCTCTTGTTCTTTTCACTGCCTCTTCTACAGCCTTTTCACTTCGCTTCTGTTCYTCTATTATTGCTGCCTTAACAGTTTCCTGTTTGTGGAAAGAGGAAAAACTCAGCAAGGTAATACCAAGACATATTTGTGCCCATTTTATATAAACCAGAAATACTCTTCAGTAGGTGGGAGCTCTGTTCAAAGCTTACCTTTAAACAGGAGTATGAACTTATAAAATCTTTTGGGATCTGTTACAGATTTCGCAGAACTCTTTCCTAAACTGAGTTAAAGGGAAAAGAAATGGAATAAGCCATTTATTGCAGGGAGCGCCTGACAGACTCCAATGGCTTCCTTACCAACCTTTCATTTGATGTTTACATGATTGATTGCCTTCCTGTACTTTGCACTATCCACATAAGACTTCCAACTTGTGTTTATTCTTCCAAGAACACCCTAATGCTGTTTTATTCACRTTTAATTTTACCATCATACAATAATCAAGTGTGGTCTGGGTGGTAAGATTTACAGCTAGTTTGGTTCTCCTGCCAGGTTAGGATGTTGGGAGCTGGACACCATGAATAGAGGTAAAAATTCTACTCTGTGTGCTAACATTTGAAATAGAGACCTAGGGAAGAAAAAGGTATTCCTCATATTAATGAATTAGAAATCAGGTACCTAAGTGCTTCCAGAATGGCAGACAAAGAGAAAAAAGGCTAAAATCCTATAAAAGAAATGTAGCATTTCTTAAGAAGTTGGAATATTCTTTGCTAAAAGAATGCCTCATGGGTTAAAATGTATATTACATAACAAAATTTGTTTCATTTATTTATATAGGTCCTATCCTTTATCTGTTAGAGTATAAGAAAATCAATTACAAAATGCTTTGAAGTTTCTCAGAACATTTCCTTCATTTTTTATTTTTGAGGGCTTTCTGCTTGGTGTGTTTATGTTTTGCCATCATTTTCCCCAATTTTAGATATGTATATATGACCCATAAAATATAAAATAATATTAAGGATTCACTATTCTGAAAATATCTACTATTTTGAAAATAGAGAAAACCACAAAGCAATCTATACATATAAGTGGACTTAGACATCATGAAGATAAGGACCTAAGATGTACATACTGTTTTCTAACTCTAACATGTTTAACTTAAAATATAATTTGAATCCTTTTTTAAGCTATTAGAAATTATTTTATGATTTATATTTCATTACAAAGTTGCATGATAATTTGTTAACTGTTATTCATGGGTATTTTAGTTATTTTAAATAAAATAAGAAGCATCGATATATGTAACCTTGTGGTTAGATATTTATGTTGAATCAATTGAAAACAATTTGGAATTATTTGGCCAATGGATATCAACTCTTTATGGCTTCTGACATTTTATATAAATTTTTTTTCACACAGTAGCCYGTGAGCGTGCCTATTTCTTAAAAGCCTTGATTACATTTAGCTCTATCAGTTTAAAAAAACTTTTGTTTATTTGAAGGACAACAGCWTCTTATTCTGCATTTTAAAAAGACTATTATTTGACTATTATTAAGCACTCTGTTGAAATATTGGCAATATMCATGCTGCCTTTTTTTTAGGTCCTTGAATACTCACTCTGCCCACTCTAATTTTAGTATACACATCATTTTTGGGATTCCCTTCCTAATACATAAAACTATGTAACAATGTTGAAAGTATATATAATAGTTATTTTGAAAATTGTTACTATTATATTTCCAATCACTAAATACACTAGCCTTTAGTTCCTTTGATAAAATAACAGAATAACACAATAACACAATAACACAACTTGAAAAAACATAAAGCTGAAAAATTATAGCAATTAAAAAATGCAGACTAAYAATATTAGTTAAAATTAAAATATATGCTATTATAATTCTTTTTGATGTTTTACAAATTTGTAATTTGAAAATTACCAAATTTAAAAAGGCCAAAAATGTAATATGTGTTACTAAACCCTCTGAAATAAAACACACTAATAATTCTGTAGTGATGAGTATGAATATTTACATTATATGGGTAAAAGTATCATATCAGTTCAGGTTGGGTTTTGCCACCCACTGAATTACAAAASTGTACTTTTTAAGCCCTGGGCAATTTAGAATTGTAGATAACCATGCACTAGGACTATTTGAATGTAAAAGATAAATCCATCATATATTAACTATCAATCAGAATTTCTATCTAACAAGGGACAGATCAGTAAATTTGATCAGRCCTGTTTGAAAATGATGGTTCAATTTACATAATCGTGCTGTATCTGAAAGAAAAAAGAGTTAGCTATATGTCTTTCACCTGACATTTTTTGGGGAGGCTGAGAGTATATATTATCTTCTCTGTCCAAATATTTGAGGRTCTACCATTTTTGAGCTGGCAAAGTATTGCTTAGAAATTTCCTTTGGTTTTCAACTCCTCAGTTGGAAGTTAAGCAACAGTTTTGGTTGTGAAGCTCACCCTGAAAAACTATTAGTCAATAAATATTCATTTGAATATAATACAAAAATAAAGTTTAAGCCTTCTATTCTCTAATCAGACCAAATTCTAAATTAGGTGGCATTAACTAATTTGTGTGCTTGTATACAAATGCCTGTGAATATCTGCCTGAAGATTTTATTGATTCCATTGGTGAAGTATATTGCCCCTAAGTCATGAGAAATTAATCTAATATAAAATAGTCCACAAGGAATGAGGAATGTCACCAGTAAATATACGTAAATAAGCAAACAATATTTTTCAGAATGTTTTAGTGATGGTAATACCATTGTAACACAATCTATTGGGTAAGACAGGGTTTCTCACTCTTCACACCACTATTGGTAATTCTACCCTGTRAGGGAGTATCTGTGTTAAGCAGAACACCTGCTATCTACCCATTAGCTGGTCACCAAATGAGAACTACAAACCTAAGGTGAGTAGTTTGGAGAGAAAAACATTCAAGCATACAATATACATGCTGTTATTTATCTGTTAAGATATATTATCACATTTATTGTCATGTTTTAAATATATTTTACCATCTAAAATATATGCAGAAGTATAATGAATTGGTTATATCATGAGTTTATAAATGTAGAGAAAGTTCTTCATACTAATGTTTTAAAACTAAATGACTAAAGTCAATTTCTATAACTTTATGATAAAGTAGGTCATATTAAAAGTCATTTAGCGCTGAAAGCTTATATGACACTTTGTATAAGATTTTTAAATTTCTCCTTATTTCTTAAAAGTGTAGTTTTGCTCCGGCATCTATGAAATCCACCATACATTTCAGTAATCAGAGAATCACAAACCAATAAAACGCCTGAGATTGTATACTTTTTATCAGTGTAATTTTGCAAGACTATAAAAACAGTATTTATGGGAAACAAATCTCAGCAATCAACTCAATTCTGGTCTGTGGCTTATAAATCACATGATTATGGAGCTGTTTAATTTTCTGGGGAAATCGCTTACTTTATTTTTTAATTTTTTTGTAGTGGGAATTGAACCTAAGCGCACTTTACCATTGGGCCACATCCCCAGCCTTTTTTATTTTTATTTTGAAACAGGGTCTCCTAAGTTGCTTAGAGCTTTATTTAGTTGCTGAGGCYGACCTTGAACTTGTGACTCTCCTGCCTCAGCCTCCTGAGTTGCTGCAATTACAGGCATGTGCCACCATGCCCAACTTACTTTATTTTTTGTTTACAAACACAATGTATGCATATTATCTAATTATGTGTCATATTAAAAGTTGAACATGATTGTAGAAATGCATTCTAGAAAATCAGTGACAACTAGAAAGGAAAAGAACAGGTATTACATATTATACCCAGTTCTGATTTGTGGTTGGTAGCAAATTCTCTTCATATGTTCATTTATCTAATTATTTTCTGAATATCTATTATGTGTGGAAAAAAGTCCAAATACTGAAAGCTTTTTTGTCTTTCTCTTGATGAGTTTAAAATTTACTTGCAGAAACAAAACATAAGTACACAGAAATTAAAACAGCAGTATAAAAAAGTAGATTTCAAAGGCACTGTAGTTAATGAGTGCTGGTGATATTAGTTATGAGTTTTATTTAAGGAAGGAAGTGTTGATGTCTCCTATGGTTAGAGAAGGACTTAGAAAACAGGTGGGCTCTGACTTGAGATTTAACAGGTGCTTCACAGCAGAAGCATGAGGATGAAGACTGAGGGAACAATATGAGTAGGCTATATTGAATGTATTTAGAAACAAATGWTTATATGACATAAGAGCATGAAGATAAAACCCAAATGTATGTTTGAGACTGCTGGGTGCAGATGAGGGTTCTTATGAGAGAAATGGAAGGAAAAGAAGCTAGATATCCAGACTGGATAGTGGGAAGCCTAAAGCTTAAAGAGCTACCAGTATTGGCATGTGCACTGATGCTGCCCCAACGACTTGTACTATCTTTCCATGAGCAAGCAAATGCACCCTTGGCTTATACTCTACACAGTCATCCTTGCCTCACCTTAAATGGTATATCCAAAGTAAACAAGTTGGCTCTTTATCATGGTCTCTCAGAATTTACTCTCAACTTAAACTAGCTCTAGGCCTGGAAAAGATAAGTTTCTGTTCCCTTGCTATATATGAAGAAATATTACTTAGATAAACAGCACCCTGTGTTCATGGAGATCAGCTGTGATCTAAGGATACATATGCCAGAAATCTGTCAGTTATGCCAATGTATAGATAGAACAATTTCATGTAAAGTTGGGAGAAAATCTTCTGGAGTTTCCTAACTTTTATTCTTTCCTAAATTCTACTATTTAAAACAACTAACATTCAGTATTATGGATAGTGATTTGGAGATAATGAACTAGAATTCTTGTATTTGATATAGATTGTTAGGCAAGATACTAGGAAATTGAGAAACATTTGTGTCTAAAATAAGCAATTCCCCAAATGAAACAAGTTTGTTATAATCAGAAAAGTAAATTTTTATGAACCAAGATATCTCTGTTCATAAGTATTACTAAGCAGGTACACAGATTTTAAAAAAAGGATTGGTTATATATTTAATGATAATTTGATTTAACTTTGGAGCAAGGAATGGAACAAAATTTTTCTTCAGAG